CCCCAAAATCCCCAAAACCCCAAAACCCCAAAACCCCGTCTAGTTCGAAAAATATTGAAATAATTTATTGTAAATGTCAGGAATTCCTACTGCTCCTTTGGTAAGTCCTCTTGTTTAACAGACACAGAGTGATTACAGGACATTACCCGAAGAGCACTATGGGGAGAGTCTTGCTTTCCCTGTAGACGAGGTTGCATGGAACCCATATCCGCATTATGGCCATCATGGCTACTGGGGAGGCTACCCGGATTATAATAGTTACTACTACCATATGCACAGAATCGATAGGCAGAACAAACTTGATCAATACGATGAAATGCTAAGGAACAAATCAACCACAGAATTACAGAAAATCCAAGATCTGAGAGAGCAGATCTCTGATATGCAGTAAGCCGTACTTTCTTCTGGAATTATTTCTTCAATCAATTTGTATAATTACTAGCATCTCTTGGTGAACCTGTCTCAGCTTTGCACTATAGGAAAGAAGCTAAAGTGAAGCAACTAGAAGCAGAAGGCGAACTTAAGAGTTACCAGACTATGAACAAGCAACTTATGAACCAAATGAACATGCTGAGAGAGAATGAGTTTTTGAGAGAAAGAATTGCACAAAGGGAATATGACAAAATTGACAAAGTAACAGAGAAAATACAGGATAAAGCTGACTCTTTGGCAAGGTTTAAAGACCATGTTCATAGTCACTGTAGTCTCCCTCCATACGTACCATCTCCTGTGTATATGACTCCAAGAGTGGAGACTACTAAGATCATTGAGAAGGACAGTTGATGCCATAGTCCTTGCCGAAAGAAGTGAGCCTGAGAGGAAGAATGCTCTTGTGGGGATGAAAGCTACATATATCTTCTCCCTCCTATCCATTCATCAAGGTAAGCCCATTAGGTAATTCTTATAATTTAGGAAGCATATCGGGTCAAGGAATTTAAGAAGGTCAGTTAAGACTAAATCAGTTAAGCCAGATATCCTATTTGAACATCTTTAAGTGAGATAATAATATTTTCTTTTTCAAATTTCTTTGCTAAATTTGGGGTTTTGGGGTTTTGGGGTTTTGGGGTTTTGGGGTTTTGGGG